AGATTGTGAAGAGCAAAAAGAAAGAATATAAAGTGGACAATTTGATCAGGGGTAAACTATTTGTTTGATACTTCTAATGGACTTTTTTTGATGAACCAGAACGGAAAAGATGATAATTTGAGTATTTTGCTTAGATAAAAGTTAGACTATGGAAAGAATATTTTTATTTGTAATTGTAAAAAAGGGTAAAAAGGTACTAAATTAGTTTATGCTCAGTGTAGTGACTGTTGAAAGCCAGTTCTTTATTATTGTCTTTGTTTCTTTTTTATTTTCTCTTCTTTTTTTTTCCTTTTTCCCCTGTGTCTTCTGAACTTTAAGTTTACTTTTTTGTACTTTCAGGGATATTAATTTTTACTATATTTACTGAAATGTTAATTTAAAAATTTTTAAAAAGAAAAAAGGCACACAGATTTCCCAGCTGCAAGTTATTTTTATTTTTCAAGAGTAAGAAATACAATTACTTATTCAATATTCAAATTTCTTCAATTTATATAGTTTTAAAAGTTTAAAAATTATTCAACCCTTTATTTAATATAGTACTTATTATTGCTTTATTTTTACTAATGTATATTAAATAAGTAACTAAATAAATTAGTTAGTTAGTTAGTTAGTTAGTTAGTTAGTTAGTTAGTTAACCATCTATTCATTTGGTTTTTGTTGGGGATTTTTTAGATTGATTGGTTGTCCAACTGTGTATGCTGATCTAAACAGCATACATGAATAAAATCCAAAGTACAATAATATCCAAATTACAATGTAAGTCAATAATATTGATAAAACTAGCAAACAAAATGAAATACCAATCATATAAAATTGGACCTATCAATACACATGCAATCTCCCAGTCATTCATGCAATCTCTAGAGCCGAGGTGGCGCAGTGGTTAGGGTGCAGTACTGCAGGCCACTTCAGCTGACTGTNTCACTCATTCTGGGACGGGAGGTAGGCCTGGGCCCCCTACCACTTCTGCAATAGCACTCAGGCTGTACTCTCAATCCTCTCATACACACACAGCCACTCATCCATGCATTCCCCACGTATGTTAATTAAACATAAAAAATACAACAATATGAGGTTAAAAAGGTGGGTACAAACATCAGCCAGGCATACCATTCACACTACATTCCTAAAATGTGCGGAGCACTGCGCAAGTACGGTTAAAATAGTCAATAGTGAGAAGGGAGGAGGGAGAGCTGCTCCGCCCCCTTCCTTCCCCAGGTCCTGAAAAGCGCCCAGAGTCAAGGTCCAAAGGAAAGCCGTGATGGGTGGGCGATTGTCGAATAGAGGGCAGATGGAGTGGATGACGATTGTAAAATAGAGGGCAGATGGAATGATGTTCCTGATGTCCCTGGAATGCCAAATTAGAACAGGAGGCAGTCCAAACAAACTTCAAATTTGTTTTTCATATTTCTGATATGCAACAATTTATCAAGTTAAACGATTATAAGCAATGCCAGTGGGAATATTAGTATCATGATTATGATGAAAAGTTTGATGTATTGTGGTAGATGAAGAAGAAGAATATGTATATGTGGAATGAGAGCCAGATCACGTACTTTAATGAAGTAATACATTTTATTTGCAAGCTGCGTATCTGAAGATGTTTATAGTCTTAACTTCCATTGAAGTAAGTGATGAAATACCAATTGATTACAGAGACAGAGTGCATAGAGTGTTTCTCAGCATGAGAAATATTCCGAATAGGATATTTATGCTTCAGTGTACAAAACAACAACAAACCATCTAGCTATCCTAATTATAACCATATTAACTTTTTTTTAAACAATTTTCATTTCCATATAAAATGGGACAATGCTCAAATACAAGCCTCTTTTCTTTTTCTCTCCCCCCCTTTCCGCCCTATATACATTCAAAGCATTCCCTATTGTACTGCATGGCCGCAAATTTTGTTCAGCTATGCTAATAGGGACAACCAAGATATATGATAGAACCCCTTCTATTATTACTATGTTGTATTGGCAGATAACTGAGGTTGAAGATTATTACTCAAGGTTATAATGAATTATATCTTCTATAAATTACTTGCCCATTGTAACTTAATTAATGTAGCTATTTTAAATATTACTTTATACTACTGGACTGTTTGCTTGAATGTGAAACGTATCTCTGGATCTTCTCCAGGCTTTGAAGGCTTGGCACAGTTGCTTCAAGGCTACTCTCTTCTACCTATTTTATGCTACAGATAGCATAAAAAACATATTTATAAGAAGCAAAAGGCTTTCATAGTTCTGCTTTGTATATTCCAAGTCCCAGGAATGTATTTCAGGAAGGATTGTTATGAATTTGTAAAGATCAGATGAGACAAAATGTTAAACAAAATCCAAATGTCTTTGTAAGGAATTATATGTTTTCTCTTATTTATAAATGGTTAATTCTAGAGAAAAATTAATATTAATTTTGTAACAATATGTAAGGTAGACTTCAAACTGTTCTGTTTTGTTCTACTCTACTCTATTCTACTGAACTCAACTCTATTCTATTCTATTCAAATTTAAAATATTATACCTTCACTGCAAATATCCAGATGACCACTATGTGTCAGCAAAAAACATAAAGAAAAATCTAACTCATAACTCTGTATGCTGCACATACAGTTGTCTGTATTTTCTCAGTCAAGGTATGCCAGATCTAGACGTAGGTAGTACTCATTTTAGAGCATAAAAATGATGTTCAAATCATAAGTCCCTATTTTGTTTTTGAAAGCATGAAACTGGGGAAAGTGGTACTTCTCAAATAGCTTCTTGTGTGATATGTGAGTATTGAATATCTTTAGATTGCTTAAAATTGCTTAAATGCTCACTTTCAATTGATATTTCTCTTTGATATTTGTAAGATTGCTATTCAAAGTATCATTCTGAAAACATGCACAAATGACTGTTAGAAATGTTTGTACCTCATGAATATTTGATTAAAAATAATAAAATTCTTGTACAGTTAAAAGAAAACATCAGACAGAGAGAAAATAACTCCATAAACAGAACTGGTCACTTTGCATTTACAATCATCAGTTTCCATGAAGTTTGAAAACTACAGTGAAGTGCTCATCTCACACATAAAATATGGGGACTAATTTGAGACTTGCTGCATTTGGCGCAAAATAGTTTCAGCCTACTGATAAAATATTGACTAGAACCATTTTTAATTTTTAACAGCTTTAGAAATAACACTTGTTGCATACTAATCAGCATCCATTCATTATTTAAGCTGCTTGATTTCCAAGGATGGGCTTATTAATTTAATGTTAATGTTCTTTTTTTATATTATATTGCCATTTTCCAAACAAATGAATAATATTAATGTTATTTACAGTATAGTTAAACTCCTCCCCCCCAACCCGCTTCTAAATGCTGCAGTTAAATTTAAGAGTACAAGATCTGAACTACAAAATCTGCACAACTGCTAAATTAATGAAAAGGGAACTAGCTTCAGTTCAGTGACAATAAACATGAACATTCCTAGCATATATCTGACACAGGATACGTCTAATTTCATACTGGTTCTAATTTCATATTGAAATTGGATCCAAAAGATAGTGCTCTGGCTGATGTCATATAACAACAAAATTAATTCTATTTTTTTCTTTATTTGTTCATTCTTTTCTTTGTGATGTTTACTTATTAGGATGATGGATTTAGATGAATTCCAGAATACTCATGGAGTTTCTCATTAGATATATGTACTGTATGTATGTGTGCATGCATGTACAGTATCTATATCTATATCTATATCTATATCTATATCTATATCTATATCTATATCTATATCTATATCTATATCTATATCTATATCTATATCTNGTTCAGTGTTTTTCAACCACTGTGCCGCGGCACACTAGTGTGCCGTGACATAGTGTAAGGTGTGCCGTGGGAGAATTACTTTATATATAGTCAATATAGGCACAGAGTTAATTTTTTTTTTACATTTTCTAATGGTGGTGTGCCTCGTGATTTTTTTCATGAAAAAAGTGTGCCTTTGCACAAAAAAGGTTGAAAAACACTGCCCTAGTTAACATAGATTCAAGGTGTTATTTAACATATTATTGGAACTGTCCAGTTTTAAGTTGAGTTCAGATTTCAAACCATCAGCAATATTAACAAAGAAGGTTGAGCTTCCAACTTTAATATTTCAGTTGATTTACTGGAATTTTTCAGAATAAATGCAAAAATAACAGAGTGTATATTTATCCCCAAAACAATAAAGGACATTAAACTATTCATAGAACTGCTGTGGACTGTGTTTCCCAGTCTTACATGCAATTTTTCATTCTCAAGCTTCATCATGATTAATGTTGTGCTAGAACCAATTTTAACAATGGTTTCACTAAAATAATACATTATTTGCTATCTTTCTATAAAATTATAGCCTGGTTGGCCATGCACACTATACCATAATATGATTAATCTGCTATATGGAAACAGCCCTTGTAGTTTGTTAACAAGTTAATGTATTGAACAGTTGTGATTTGTTCATCAAACACAGTTAAACCAAGGTACTATGTTGAATGCATCTAGTCTACAAATTGAGCCACAAGGTATCTTCCCTAATAATTCTGTAGAGTGGAAAGGGGCTTAACCTCTCATGCTGCAAATATTATAAGCTGCAGACCCCCCAAACCACCCAGAAATAAAAGCCTACTGAAAAAATTAATAAAAGCTTAAAAAAAATTAGAAGCATACCATGCTATACAATTTTAACCTTAAGTATGGGAAAAAATATTCAGTATGCAAGTATTACTGTTTGCCAGATAAATAGCTAACATGAAATATTAACTATAACCTTTACATAAGTGCATACAATAAGATATGTATATTACATACTGTAGAATAATTATAAGAGTACAATGATTGTGATAACATATTTCTCTGTTATCACAAAGTGTCTCAGCATTGAAAAGAGCAACCAGGGTATATAACATTGAAAGACTGACATGATGTGATTTAGCAGATTATATTATAAATGATTAAAAATAGAAACACTACCTGAAGAAAGTAACAAAAAATTGCACCAGGTCCATGATGGTGTTGTGCTGTGAAAATGCAATCTGAAAAGATAGAGAAAGAAATGTGAAATAATGTTACGGGCCATTTCCACTAAGAACGTTATAAACAGAAATATTCCGTGTAACCTATAAATGATACAAATCCTCTTATAAAATCAAACTATTTTACTTAGTATTCATTAGCTTGAAACATATGTAGTATATAACAACATTTTAAATTAGATACTCAGCCTAATCATCTGCTTTGTTTCAAAGTCTGAAACCCTAGATTAACAGGTGGATACATTTAGAAATATGAAGATAGTAATGATTTTTGAACAGAGGGCATCAAATTCCTGAAGTATCAGAAGAGATGACACATTAATGATGTTTACCTCTCCCAAAATGAAACTGTGATACCATTTTTCTAGTTGCTCTCCCAAAGATGATATGTCCAACAGAACTTCATGAATCTGACCATGTGGAAAGTAGCAGATACGGAATTAATCACACCTCTTGAATACAAGGATGAGCTCAGTATTTTCGAGAACAAGAGAACAAAGAACTTTCTAGTTGATCAAATAAAACTGTTAAAAATAGGAGACAATATAGGTAACTCAAGATTGAACTGAGTCTTTGATGCTGTATTGGCTTGTTTTCTCCTTGGTAGTGCCTTGATTAGTGTTTTGTCTTTGGATTGATTGGTTGTCTGTGGGTAATCCCTACTTATCTGGAGGTTGGCTATTGGAGAGAATGTATTCTGGTCTTTTTATGTCCTTCTCAGCTTTTTATTGTCTGTTTTGAATAGTGTGTAAATGTGGTTTATCTCTGTGTCTATTGATGCTGATTGGTAAATGGATATACTATGGTGGTAAGGAAATACATTAAGCAGAAGAATAGCAATAACAACATTCTGAAACATCTTTTTATGCCATCTTGGTTTGCCATCTAACTAAACTGAGGCTTGGATATTCATTAAATCATAGAATAATTAGCTCCACCTTTAGTATTATCTTTCTTTTAAAAAATATGATTTTTATTATTGTTGTTTATCAGCATATGCTGTCCCTAATGTCAACCTTGTTTAGGGTTTTATAGAACATATGCAGAATTTTCAGTAATTATACTTCCAAATACCTTGCCCATAAGTATTTTACAAATTGCTTAGGGAAGCATATTTTCCCTTAAATCTGATGGCCTCTTTGGACTTAACAAAAGCTAAGCTCTTGTTATTGAACATTACAGCCATATGCCATAAATACCTACATTGCTTTTTTTCTTGCTATGTCAACATATTTTCTTGCCTGCCCACGTAATATTCAGAAATTAATACAATTTTAAGATGTTGTGTGTGAAATGCTATGCCTTACAGTATGTATTTTAGTATATTATAGTATATATTAGTATATATATAGTTATTTTTTATTCCTATTAGTGGTTTTAGTGAATCAGACAATAAATATATTTCTGTAATTTTAATTTACATGATGAATAGTATATGATGGTAGAAGCTATAAACAATATACTCTTCAACTCTTACTAATAAACTGGAAATAATTTATTTTACATGCAACCTTGAAGTCTACATAAATACTTTCAGAACTTTCATATGGATGGCAACGAACTTGAAATATAAATCAAAGTATATAAATAAGAAACAAGAAACAAATAAAAGCTAATTAAGTACCCCGTTTAATTGCAACATATGCTGAAAATAAATATATTCTAATAGCATTATTTCTTTTTCAAAGCTGTACATTTCTCTTCAAACAGTGATTGGACGAAGAAAGTTATGTAGTCTATGGTATCAAAAAAAATCAGAAGACTGATAATGGCTTTTACATCAGTCATCACAAATAACAACATAGAACGATATGATAGATCAACCTGCAATGGCCAGGTTCATAAGCCCTTTCCTAATGTAACTTACTACTTTGTAATGTAAATTACTACTAATTACTTAACGCAATGTACAATTTTTGACAAGTAGCCATTCATATCTTTATCTCCATAAACTAATTATTTATTAATACTGTTCATGTTGGTGTTTATCAGTACTTTCTGAAGTAGCAAAATAGATCGTTTATTTGACCACTTGGATTCTTTCCTCCATACTATTCTTATATTTCATTATATATAATATTACATATATTTATTGTATGTATGTATGTATGTATGTATGTATGTATGTATGTATGTATCACAACCATGAGATACTTAACAATGTAGTCAAGAAATTTTCACCGCAAAAATAAAAAGGAACCTTTGGTATTAAAGTGAAAAACCCTTTATCTAAGACTTTGACAATTTTTTTTGCCACCCTACATATACTATTTTGGACTACATTATCTTCTAACATAGCATTTAGGATAACTACTAACTTTCTCAAAGTACTAATTTTCTTATATAAAATGAAAATAAAAATATAAGCAATTTCCAGCTGATTCTTGTTATAGTGACACTAATAAAGAATCAATTGTGAGGCACCAACATTCTGCATAATGATAATTATTTCCTTTTATATCAGCTTCAATTTTAACTGTACCTTGGTACACAGTTATTCTCACCCCAAACTATTCAAATCAGCAGTTCTTTGTTGTCCTACCAATTACAAAGATTTGCTATATATTTTTAAACAAAATAGTTAATCAGCAGCACTAATGATGTTACCACATTTAGGTAATGAACTGTCTGCAAGAAAACAACCAAGCTAACAGCACCAAGAACACCTCAAAATAGTTGGTGACTATGCATTAATATTGCATATGTATTCTTTGTGTCATGTATATTTCTGTTCATTGAAGAGATGCACAGATTCTAAATGTAGTGTACCTCCTAGCTTCCTTCAACATTTATTGCATTGAGTGGAGTGGTGAAAAAGCATAGTTCGGCATCTGCCAAATATTGTTTCTATCGTGGGGATTTCTATTCCAATAAAAAGCATTGGAAGAATATCTGAATGACAGTGAAGAAGATGCACTGAAGCTACTATAATATGAAGGCTTACTGAGTATTGGAAAGATCAAAGTGGTCAAACTACTCTACAAGAAAAGGCAAATGAAAAATGAGGGTACATAGGCTGAAAAAGGAATGAGGAAGATGAAAAAAAAATTACAAAGATGGCAACAATATATCAGATATAATATAACTTTTGTTCCATAAAAAATATACGAATGTAAAGAGACTAGGAACAGACCTTGATTTAAGAAAAATTTTAATATAGAGAGACAATTGCT